AAATTAAGTTTATCCATTGTGTTTACAAATCTGATAAAGTTTTCTGAATTTCTAAAACATAGATCAGTTAACTGACACAATGTCTGGAGGCCATAACCAGTGATGATCAAGCCTTATCTTCACCAAACTAAAACTGTTAACTTGAAAAACATCATAAATACTTCATTGGCTGGTTCACAATACATCAAACCTGACAGTAAATTGAAATTAAACCATAATATACACATGATTACAAAACACATCAGCTGACAATCTGAACTAAGGGACCAGTCATTTATTACAGGAGTGTTGGTCAGGTTGTGTGTGTGTGTGTGTGTGTGTGTGTGTGTGTGTGTGTGTGTGTGTGTGTGTTTAGAGTTGAGTGGGGGGGGGGTCAGAGTTTCTTGATGCACTAATGTACAGAAAGCACTGACCCTCCCCATATGCTTGTCATATTTTTGGATGACCCTCCACATGTATTTGTACACTTTCTTTTTTTCACGACCCTCCCCGAAAAAAAAAATGCAAAAGCACTTGATATTTTATAAAAAAAAGTCAAGTTTTTGCAGGACCCTTCGTAAAAATGTGTATTATTTTACATGACCCTCCCCTAGAGAGTGTCATATCTTTGGGTGACCCACTTCTGATTCCCCTCACCTTCACCCACAATAAATGACTGGTCCCTGAATTTATACTAAAACAATACCAACACTAACCATATCCAGATACACTGTCGTCCATATCTGACAGTGACAGCAACCAGTCACATCGTGACTAACAACACTAACAGTAACAATACAACAACACAATAAGCAATCACTCACACTTTGATTTTTTCAGACATTTTATGACAAATATACATGGAAAGCTCCGCCTTCATAAACACTTTCCATGCAAAAAATTAGAAAACAGTTGCAATGTTAAAATATTGCTTTTACAAGGCACGTGTTTGATAACCTTCTTCATTAGGTAGTTAACTGTATGTTAAATAGAACTGTGCTGACAGCAATACACATGTGCCCTGATGGCATTACAACAGAGACAATGAACCTTCTGCCATATTGGTACAGAATTCAGTCTGCAGTTCTACTTTCATAATTGTTGGGTTAACCATGTCATCCTAATCTGAAATAAGATGGGAAGAGGCACAAACAAAAATCGCCAGGAACCAACATTATTTAAAGAAATAATTTTCCCTGTATCATATTTGATTTACTCTTCATTATTAGAAACAAACGTTTTGTTGTCTCAGTATGGAGATATCAAATCCTACTGCTGTGACCTGTATTATCAAAGCTATATTCATGTTTAATTGAGCAAGCCTCCCAGTACCGACTAAGCACTGTACCCCTTAAAACAAAGTGACTTCAGAGAATAGAGCTTGGGTTCCAGCACAGCCTATTGGTCAACAATGATCACCATCGGCAACACCACCACCACATAATACTGTCACAGAAGCCGCAGGTCCGACATCACTTTAAGCTTGTCCAATACCATGACAAAACACAGATACTTGCTGCAAAAACAATTAACAGCTTAACCTATTAACTCAGTATATATAGTTTTTCATTTCTTGATCTAATGTAACATATTCTATAAAATAAAATGTTTATACATATTATACATCATGCAAATGTTAGAAATTCTACAGCTTCATTATTACGAAAATATGTCTCACTCCGATTTATATAACTTATGTTCTTCATGGGCCTATGGTGTCCATTCTGAAGACAATACATACCCATAGCCATGCCAATAGAAAGGGAACACCTTTTTCTTCTATCAAGTGTCTGTATTACAGAGTGACAAATACCACAGAACATCCCAGTGCTACAAACATCGCACATCAATACACAACTAACATCAGCTTCATCAACCAATGGAAAAGATGGCTGAACTGAAAATTCAAAGATGATAAATGGCGGACGTATTTGTAAGCACATCACTTAAGGTGACAGGTACCGAGGGAATATCAAACAGGACTTCTGAAAGCTCTTGGTTCAAAATCTACTCTGAACGGGACAAATAGCCATGTAGCCATGAACCTAGTTTGTTCGTAGTGCCTTTATTTGGTACATCCATAAACACGCACATGATTTCTGTAAGGAAACAGCATATAGAAGTCAGCAGCTGTATTGTATTATAAGACAGAGAGTATGATAGCAATGCAGTGTCAGGCGTTGCCTGTAGACGGACATATATATCACATGCAATTTTCATGTTCTGACAACTTCTCCACGGAGTGATATTTAGCTCAGCAAAGATGGGTCAAAGATAATAAACAAGACAACAGGTATTTATCACCATTTACTAATGAAAATATGTCCACGGGAGTAATTTTATTTTATTCATCGAAGGTGGTGCAGACATTGCTTCCTTGGAGTACCCAGATTCGGCCAAACGAAATTACCATTCGATGTTCTTCTGTATAACATATAACTTTGAACACTTGGTTTTTAACTGGTTCAAAACAATTGATTTGCAATGCTATTCTTGTTAATCTATTAGTCACATCTGCAATTTAGTATCATGATAATTTCTGTATACCCGTAGTCATGTCGTGACCTCTTTGAATATTGTGAATATTTGTTATGTTCTCATCAAACCAACCGGATTGTACTACTACTTTTTTTGAATTGATCAAACATGCCTGCAAATTAGCACTGATGCATTTCACCACCCTTGGCTGTTGTGAATATTGGTTAATTTCAGGTCAATTCTACTCTTGTGGCACCTCGACTAAGAATATCAGCTCGGTAGCATCATGACAACTGTCTGTATAGTTGTATCGCGACACTGTCAGCTACTCCTACTGTATTAGACTTTCAGGCTGTGGGTCGTGTATGGATATTGATGATGTAGGGGTCGGTTCAACAAGCACCTTGACACTGGAGGGATCAAGACATTATACACGGCAGTCAGAACTCTCTCATAGTGTTGACTGAAAAATGTTCATAGTCAAATATTTATCATATTTCACTGTAATGATATGAAGCTTTTCGGAAATTAGAAACTGAGCTCGAAACAAGCGGATAAAATAAGTACAAAAGAAACCTTTTCCTTACACAAGGAAGGATGTGCTGTTTTATGTAATGGGTAATTTCAAAAATATAAATGTACAAAATGAATTACCACAAGCATAATCTAAATTCAGCTGATAGTCATATTCTGCAATCTCCTTAAGTACAGAAAAGCCCATTTCCTTGTATGAACTGAGGTAATAACTGAACTATCTTATTGGTCAGTGACAATGATGAAACTACCAAAATAGGATTCAACACATCAGATCGATCCAGACTTATTGCCATTGAACTTAAAGCCGTTAATCAAGCATATATAGCAGCCATATTCTCATGAGGCATCAACACACAGTATGTTTGGAGACCACTGGGTCAAATGAGTACGATGTTGAAAGAAATAACCTACCGTATTTGACATAATAAGCACGCTCTCAAAATTAGAAATAGGGGGCTCTTATTAGCATAAAATTTTGGTGAAAAAAAGATTGTTGAAAGATCGTAAATTTCGTGGTTGAGGCTGACAGCCTGAAATGATACAAAAGAAAAGTCTTTGTGTATTAAACACGACAGATATATTTTTCCAGAATTAAATTGTCCATAATTAAGGGTGCATATAACACATGAGTGTGTATTATACGCGAATAAATACGTCTTGTGGACATTGTGTACATCGATCAATCGGAAGGAATTGGAATTGTTCACTAGCCAAAATATTAGCAAATATTGCCGTGGGCGCTTATAACGTCGAATACGGTAATTTGTGATTAGTCACAGTAATGCAAAGATTTCCGAAAATATTTCACACTCACATACAAGTGTTTGAAAGTTTCAGAGACATGATATCAAATATGAATTGAAACACACTGTATCACAATGTCAAGAAATAATAAGCAGACACTGAAGAAAACACAAACCAAGATAAAATTAGTATTATCCATCTAAAATGTTTTAAAATCCTTCCAAATAATAACGACACAAAAAATCTCGAACATTTTAGGCTCAAGTAACACAAATCGCAACAGACCAAAAACGTATTTTCCAATTTCCTTTAAAGATATGCATGATACAGATTACTAGATATGATTAAAACATTAGAAATATATACCAGTATGTTAAACATGGTTATCAACTCAAAGTCTACGTAAAAAAGGTATCTGAACCATAACAAAATTAAAATTGATGACCATAATGATATGAAAACATGTATTTTGAGTGAATAGCCTACATAATTTGCCTTTTCCAAACAATAAATGATTGGTCAGTATCTAATGAAATGACATGGAAAGACGAAGAGTTACAGGTCAAGTAAATCTGTACAGCACGAATGCCACATTCACAGTGCCCCCCAACATTGTAGGTGGCTATGAGCAAGTGAGTGAGTCTGGTTTTACACCACTTTTAGCAACGTTCCAGTAACACCACGCCAATGGACATCATCAGACTGATCAGTTCTACATATATATTTCCTGCTGAGTCATGCTTCATTCATCTCAGAAATGTTATTCTGAAATAGCCTCTTGAATATATTCCAAAATTAATACTTACGACATGTGTTTTAAAACAAGCTAAAGAAGCTGATATATTTCAAATTTGATTTAAGAATACACCTTAATTATTGTGTAATCTTCAATACAGTTCAAACTAATAAGCATGTATCTTGTTCACGAGTGGCATAAATATACATGCAAATAAATACCACTCTCACTAAAATCAGACTGTTTACTTTGATTTGATACCTCTCTGCATAAAGACCAAACAAACCCTCCCTATAAGGGAACTCATGTTGACCATGAGCGAACTCTGACTGCCCATACAAAATGAAAGGTACAATGATTTTACTTCATTTCATTCTTAAATAACATTGTCCGTTGTCAAATGTTGATCTGACCATGAGGAAACTAACACAAAACAAAAATCTTCCATCAATAGTCCCTCTCTTGGCTGCAGATGCCATGGTGCTCTGATAAAAAGACAGGGTGTTATTTTGTTTTGTTTTTTCTGCATCCGGAACTGCCCATTAACATTCACTTTTGAAATCTGATGCACTGCTCCGATGCTTCGCTCTCTTGGACCGAAAAGGCGCAAGCCTCCATGCTGATTGGCTGGTAGAAGGTTCACCTGGCAAGACCTCTTATCAGGGCCCTGGGGGTTTGTAAAACCATGAAGAGCGGTACCAAATTGGAGTAAAACATCTGATTTTTATAAAAATGGAATAAATATCTTATCAAATTAACAACTGACTAACAGTACCCAGACATAGAACTTAAATCGGAAGAGTCAGACAGAATAAACCAAGGGTTACAAAACAACAGGAGCGACCCTGGGCATCTGTATCAGCAGAACACTCCCAGATGACGATGAGAACCAAATGTCAAACTTGTTATCATAATCATGTTCCCCATATCAAAACAAACAAACCAATAAGTAGTGTTCTAGAAATAGAAACATAGCTTCTCCAAACAATTTAGCAACTGTGGTAAGTCTACAAAATAGTATAGGCATTACAACAATCTAGAAGTAGGAATAAATTTTGGGCCCATCTCATATCTTCACATCTTACCATAGCCATGGTCGTAAGTCTGTGTTATGGCAGTGGAGTTACGACATTCGTAGCAAAAATTGCTTGATCATGTTTATGACACAAGCCCTGTAGGGTAAAAATATAAATCAAGAGGTTAAATAGGCCAAACAAAAAGATAGAAGCAAAGTAAGAAGAATACACACTACAACCCTGTAGATGAATGTACAACTAATAATGACTTCTGAAAACGAAATACAACTAAAAAAAGATCAGATGGGAACCTTGTCAAACTTGTTCTCATAAATCCTGTTCCCTATATCAAACGATCAAACAATAAGTATTTACAGAAAAACGAAAGCTTTCTCAACATAAATGTCACAAGTCTATCATTAAGTATAGAAATCATAAATTCTAGAATAGAAATAAACAATGATACATCTGGGATTCATTACCAAAGCGATCTTAGCGCTACAACTGTCGTAAGAGTATGTTGAAGTATACGACAATCATAGCACAAATGCTTTGAAACACAATATCCTGTACGGAAAATATCTATATCAAGCCACAAAAGCAAAGGAAGTCGATTTCATCTGTTGATTAACGAATAACTTACAATGACTCCTGACGAATAATTACAACCCAGTTGTAGAACTTCACAGCACAGTCATGAAACATACATAAAAGATGAAGCTGATAGATGAGACATGAGTGCCAAGGACGTCATCTAATTTCAACTCTTGCTTGCCCACTTGAGGTCGTCATCCCGAGGCTTGTGGCCTGTGAGGGATTCGATGATGTTTTCTAGGGTGGTCCAGAAGCGGATTATTTCCAGAGGGTAGTTGAGCCATCCTGTGGTGATACAGAAGTAGGTCTCGTGAGGGGCTACGTGGTGGATACGATGGTGTTTCCTGGGCAGGATGATGTGCAGGTCCTGCAACAGGGTGATGTAGCGAGGCAGGCCGAAGTAGGTGTGCGACCATTTGTGGAACTGTAACAGACGGCAAGTTCTTCATGTTCATGACATAGGAGCTGGTTTCATGCATAGAGATTATTATACGTGCATGTGTCACGATATGAGTGTCAGAATTCTTGTATTTCCTTAATCAGAGCGAGAGCTCCCCATTAGAATATGTGTCATCAGGAGACGACATATCCCTCTGTCTGGTGCAATTTGGAAAATGAGTTTGGCTACTCATACCCGTCTTTTAGTTCATTGCCACAAGACACCTTCAGTTTAGTGAAGAAACAAATATTCAGTATTTTTCAATATCCCAAATCATCAAAAGGCATTAGTTCACCGCCAGACTAATCTGTATAGCAAGTTTCATCATGTAATATTTAACGGTTTTGAAGTTCTACTCCGGAAATGGAAATCAGACAGTGTCGAACATGCTGATTGCTATATCATAGTATACCCCCCCGTTTTTCCAAGTCAGGGATAAATATGCACTGTTCACAACTGCCGTCTTAGAAAACCACAATTGTCAAAAGACGTCAACAATCTTCAGCTATGAAGCTAGTGTGATGTCTTTCCGATCTTACGTCACAATAAGATTAAAATTATGTCAACAATGCTGAAGCATGAAGTGTTATTTGCACTAGTGCACATACAATTTTTATGAACTCAATTACTTTTAAAGCTATGGGTAAAAAAGATAATTATGTTACAGTCAAACTAGAAAACAGCGTTATCACTATCCCACGCCATGGGGCACTTTAGAATTTACCTCAAAGCTGATTTTCTAAAATTCTATTCAGGGAGTCTTTATTTAAATACGGGTAAATATTATTAAAGCTTGTACATTTTATCATCATCCTTTTAGAGGATGTACATAATTTTGACATCTTATAAAAGAAATATACGACACATGGTCATTGTTTATCGTACAATAAAACACTGCAGGGAGAATAAACCACTGCGCTCTCATGGTTTATTCTCCTTGCATTGTTTAATTACATGATACACAACCACCATGAGTCGTTTATTTCTTATATGTGGGACAAAAGGCCAAAGTGTCACAGTTTGGCGTAACTTTGGTACAACCCACAAACAATCACTGTGATTGTGGGGTTGAACCAGTGATCTTGGGATCAGTTACAAGGGACACAACTCTGCAGTGAACTGCAGCACTGTAGACCACAAGGCCTGCTTGTGATAGATATTACCCACCTGGTTCGTCAGGCTGACAAAAAAGGCCAAAAGATAGACGAAGCACTCCCAGTTGTAGGTGGCGATGATCTCCTCTGGTGAGTAGGTCAGGAACTTGAATGCCATGTTGGCTAAGGCTGGAATAGTCACTGCAAAGTTGTCTCCGTTGGTCTCAATAAAATCATGGCGAGTTATGGACGTGGGATCGATGTGATGTTCCCGGAATGGACGAATAAATGCCTGCAGGACACAAGATTCTTGGAGTGAGTGAGTTACTTTAAAAAGTGAACACAAATGATAACAAGTATTAAATATCACTCCTTTATTAACATGTCAGGTTTTAAGCACAAGGCATTTGGAGAATTTTTTTGTGACATTGTAGGCCAATTTTAGTGAAAATATGGGCTTCTGTGCCATAATCAGCAGTGTTAGAGCAATACAAGTGACATCCTGGACCATGGGGGGGGACCATACAAACCAGTGGTAGAGAGTGTGAACGATAATCCACATTATTATATACCGTATTCGACGTAATAAGCACCTGGGGCGCTCTAAAAATTAGAAATAGGGGGCTCTTATTAGAATATTATTTTGGTGAAAAAAAACAGAGTTGAAAGATAAATTTTGTGGTTTATGCTGACAGCCTGAAATGTTTATGTACGACAGATATTTTTCCAGAATTTAATTGCCCATAATTAAGGGTGCATTTAATACACGAGTGCGTATTATACGCAAATAAATGTCCTGTGTACATTGATAAATCGGAAGGGGTGCTAATTGGGATTGTTCACTAGACAATATCTTAGCAAATGACGCCGTGGGCGCTTATTAGAGCGGGGCGCTTATTAAGTCAAATACAGTATGCAAAGTCAAAGCCGAGTAGCAGTCACACGTCATTTGACAGAATTGCATATTGACTCTTAAGTAATTTACAGTATTGACTTGAGTTACTAAAAATAGAATGGGAATTCCCCGGATGTGGTATTACCCAAACCTCAGCCAATCAGATGTCTCCAGTTGTTCACACCTAACACTATCAGTCTGTGACTTGAGCCACTAGTCTGAAGCCCGAGTCAAGTACAATTCAGTGTAGTCCAGTAAGCTCAACTAATAACAATCCATGTAAGAACACTAAAATGTACAAGAAATGATGTTAAGCTCAAAAGCTTTGGGCACAGACTTCACTTCTGTCACTTGATTGTAGCTGGCATAATTTGATGTGTTCAATCTGCTTTTGTCTCTATCTTATAAAATAAAACAAATAAAGGATAAGTATGAAATCTGAGGTCAATATTGTTTTTTTTCTGGTCCATACAATTAGGTTTGTTTGTTTGTTTGTTTAACACAATATTTTTAAGCTGAGTACTATTCAAGCTATATGACAGTGGTCTGGACCAGACAATCCAGTGATTGAAATCATGAGCATTGATCTATGCAATTGGGATATGATGACATCAACCAAGTCAGCGAGCCTGACCACCCGATCCTGTTAGTCTGTTAGTCCTCTTACGACAAGCATAGTCGCCTAATACGGCAAGCATGGGTTGCTGAAGACCTATTCTACCCGGATCTTCACAGGTCACAGGGGGCATGGGTGGCCCAGTCGTCTAAGGCGCCCCGATTCGCTGTGCAGAGTTGCGTCCCTTGGGCACACCAGAAACCTATGATTGTGGGTTCGAATCCCGGTTCGCACTGATTATGTTTCTAGGTTTGTCAGCACCATACCCGTGCTCGTGGGTTTCACCGAAGTGGTAAACGTCTGAAACCTGCATCACTTCGGGCTTTCCTCCTACATTAAGCTGACACGCCGCGATATAACTGGAATACTGTTAAAAGCGGCGTTAAATCCAACTCACTCACTCACTCACGGGTCACAGGTTGCTGGGGGAAATCCCAAGGGGGTTGTCATAGCTGAGAGTTGATGTTCCAACTTCCCACCCAAATATCCTGTCACACTATACACATGATAAAGCTTAATAAAGGCTACGCAATTTCTGGCATCTGTGCATATCGATGTAGTAGCCATCAATTAGTCGTCTTTCTTTAGACACTAAAATAAGTATGTAAATGTTAAAAAAACAATTTGATAAGCATGATTTATATTTATGATATCTGACCTAGTCAATAATGACCCAAATCTGCTATCCATGCTTTCCAGTGTAACCAGGTTCTTTGTCATTCACGTCCAAGAAGTAGCCAACAGGAACAGATAAACTTCAACTTCATTGAGATGGTTTTATTCAAACGGTTTTCTAATTCAGAAAATCATGAACTAAACAAACATACTGTAAGCAACCTAAACTCTGGCCTCTGACCTTGCTAGTGTGTCCTGAAAACCGTTTCCCCTGACTGACGATATTCCCCAAACTATCTCACACCAAATCTAATGATTAATTAATTTGAAATCTAAATAGTGACTGTTACATCAGCCCAGTCTAGTTCTGACCCTCTGACCCTACTTATTAAACCCACTATTGATTAAATAAACAACAATCTAGTGACTAATACATGGATTGGACCTCTTCTCCTTGATAATCCTATTTATCATGATTTATTAAGATCCGTTATCTTAACTCAGGTCTAGTCGCTGTTACGTGGTTTGGCCTGTGTCTCTCTCTCTAATGTTACTTATTAAACTCTGACCTTTTAATCCCTCTTTAATCAGATTGGATGTTCTCGGTCAACCGTAACCACCCAAGATTTACCTACTTGTCCAATTACACTAGCCTCTGTTGCTCAGTTCAGAAAACCATTTAATTAAGGAGAATTGGCCGCTACCTACGCTCCCCGTTTGACACACTTGACACATATATAGATACATACACAGATACGTTCATATACATTCAAAATAGTGGTTTACACATATAATTATATTCCATGTACAAAACATTTTCTATTAATTATTTATTAATAATACAATATCACAGGGAGTGTAGCTCCTGGTTACACTAGGAGTTTAAACCAGTTGCCTTTGGCAGGCCAATTGGGAGTGAGTGAGTGAGTGAGTATGGTTCTTCGCCGCTTTAAGCAATATTCCAGCAATATCATAGCGGGGGACGCCAGAAATGGGCTTCACACATTGTACCCATGTCGGGAATCGAAACCTGGGCCTTAGGCGTGACGAGCGAATGCTTTTACCACGAGGCTACCCGACCACCCCACAGGCAAATTGGGAAAAATCCTTACCCTGTACATTGTTCAAAATTTGATTGTTTTATTGCACTAATTTTCATAAATTCGGAGAAACTGGGAAATTTTTAATTCAAATTGGGAATTGTTACTGATATTTGCTGCAGACTCGGGGTCAACTATCAGCCTTTGACCAGGTCCAGAAAAGCCCCTGTGCTACTCCCATGGTCACAATGGTAGTATGCCAAAATGGTTTCAGAGACGAGGTGAAATGTGAATAAGTTGATCAGTTGATAAAGACTATCTATGCAATGATTAGCAATGTAATCATCAGTGTAACAACTGGTTTGCCCTATCCAAAGATCAGTGATAGAAACTAACACTTTTAGTCCACTAGTCCTTATAATGATAACATATAGCAAAGCCCTTCATAATTTCTACTAGTCCTCATGTCACCTGGACTATTGGACAGTTTGAGTTTTAAGGACTATGGGACTAAAGTACTCACGGTAATGAAAAAAAACCTGTTTTTTCGATCTCAGATTTTAAATAAATGCAGTTAATATAAAAAATATATAAATATTCAAACAACTCAAATAGTACTAATTGGGCCTGTTTCTGCCATGTCAATTTGGGCTTAGTTTTATTTTTGAATGTTGAACATGTTGAAAGTGACTACAAATTACCTCCTGTAAAGTACATTTTGTATTGAGCACTGAGATAAAACTAGCAAATCCAGACTAGTACTTTTCCAGTTGTTTTGTTATTTCGTATTTACATCTACATAATGCTTTGTGTCGGTTATTAAATCCAGCAAAACAGTTTTTTTTCATTTCCATGAGTACTTTAGTGCCAATTTCTACCACTGAAGATATTATTTTAGTTAAAGCTTGATGATCATTAACTAATTATACATGTTTAGCACGTCAAGACAAGTGCTACAGGTCACACACACACACACAATCCTGACATTCTACTCAGCATGCCCATGTGATAACAGCTGTGGACCACTGTGCTATGTGTGACACTCATCATGTCAGCATGACAGCCATCTCGATAACTTCACTGATACCGTAGAAGCCCTGATGACCTATACCCAGGTGATTCATGTCACTATCAACACTTATAAATAACACTGACCTTCAACTTGAACCAGATCAGTGCATGGTAGAAATATTTGAAATGAACAGTGTTTTGATATAAGGGCATGTGGGTTTGGAGTGTGTGAAATTAAGATGGGTCCTTTAGGTCTGCTCCTCCCTTGACAACCCGTGAAGATCTGGGTTAGAAATGGTCTTCAGCAACCCATGCTTTATGTAAGAAGTGACTAACGGAATGGGTGGTCTGTCTCGCTGACTTGGTTGATGCATGTCATTATATCCCATTAAGGTAGATCAATGCTCATGATGTCAATCACTGGCTTGTCTTGTCCAGACTCAATTATTTACAGACCGCCGTCATGTAGCTGGAATATTGCTGAGTGCAGCAGTCAACAACAAACAAATAATCCTACCATGACCGTTTGACTAAATTTTGATCGATTGATCGATCAACAGGTAGAGGTCGAGAGAGTGTGAGAGTGTGTGTGTGTGTGTACAGGGAGGAGGAGGACGGCCTGGGTATCCTTCAAGTTTGCTCCTATAGTATTTATTTATAGAATCTAGGAACCCTCCAAATTATGAATAACATTGGCGATATCACAATGACCCTTATCTTTCATGCTTAATTTTAAGGTTTGCACCAACAGTATTTGTATCAAAATGACCTGGGGACCTCTTAAATGTCAAACCTTTAACATTAGGGTTATGACAAGGATCCCTTGATGTTCAGGGTTAGGTTCGAGGTACCTATAGGATTTATTTCAATCTAGGGACCTGTAAACTTTAACAGAATCATGAAAAGGACCACTTGACTTTAACCCTGTTCATGCTAATTATTAACTAGTCTGTTATAACAGTGATATAACAGCAACAGACTGGTTATAACAGGAAGTAGAAGGGTTGGTATTTATAGTTAGGACACTACTTTACATCACACAACCAATATGACACAAGGACAGGTGAGGTTACCACAGAGAGTTTTTGAAAACTCATTGTTAATGGGGCAATGATGATTAATTTTGCACATTTTATGCACCTACACAGCCTATCTGGAGCTCCGGTCACTTCACCCTGGACACCATGGCCAGGCCAGGCCAGGCCAGGCCAGACATGGCAACTGTTACATAGCAAGGTGACGAAGTGCACAAACCAGTGTGGTAAACATGACAGAGAGCAACTAGTCCAACTGGGTCATGACCCAATATTACTTTGGACCCTGAAATGTCGTAAAGGGAATGTAACGTGAGGACAATCAAACTTCAAAGAACTTTGTCAGGCTTCAAAATATTCATGTAAAGTATCATCTCTCTTTTGGAGTGAGTGAGTGGGTTTGATTTTACGCCACTTTTAGCAATATTACAGCAATATCACATCAGGGAAAACAGAAATGGGCTTCACAGATTGGACCCATGTTGGGAATCGAGCCCCGGTCCTCGGCGCGACGAGCAAATGCTTAAACCACTAGGCTACAGGACAGCCCCTCCTCTCTTGGAAAATCATGAGAACTATATAAGATATTTTAATGTATGATTTCCTTTCCAAATTAAAGGTAAAATTTGAACTCTTGAACTTAATTCCGAGAGTAGTGCCTTTGTAGTGCTATATATACACTGAAAATATCAACTGGAACTTTTGGATTCTGAAATTCCACAATTTGAAGAATAACTTGTCAATTAAATATTATATAACTAAATCCTTCAATTCCATGTCAGTCTTCAATACTTCCCGGAGTTTGTACACACTATGCTATTCTATTACCTGTGAACACGTATGACCACTGTGTGATCCTGTTGCATGTCTCTATGTCAGTTGGCCCTAACTCGCAGTTGTATGGGCCCTATTCTGTGAAAGAACATTCTGTGAACCCTACTGCAGCAATATGTAAAGTAGAAGGCTGTAACCAATTGTGAGTGAGTGAGTGAGTGAGTGAGTGAGTGAGTGAGTGAGTGAGTGAGTGAGTGAGTGAGTGAGTGAGTGAGTGAGTGAGTGAGTGAGTGAGTGAGTTGGGTTTAACACCACTTTTAACAGTATTCCAGTTATATCACGGATTTGAACCCACAATCATAGGTTTCTGGCGTGCCCAAGGGACCCAACTCTGCACAGCAAATTGCGACGCCTTAGACGACTGGGCCAACCATGCCCCCCGCAACCAATAGGGATAAGTATTGGGGGTTTAAAGCATATCACAATATTTTGCAATGCAGAAGGCCGTATTGCGCTTTGTATCACAATATATTGTATACCGTAATTCTAAATTTTTAATTCAGAAACAATCTGATACACGAAGGTATGAACTGAAGTTCATACATGGAACAAAACAAGTTGCTGGTATAACATACTGTTTACGCAGCCATCTTGGGTCCCAGGATGCTCGCACCTGGGCAGCGAAGGCATTTGGCAAGTATATAACTTTAACACAGGATAAAAATCCCAATTTGAAATCACCTGATATATCGAACATGAAAAAAGACACTGTGATACGTATCGTGGAATGAATGAACCTCAATTTACCGATGTACTGGTAATACCTGACAACCCTAGTAACCAAGCTGTTGCTGGAGACGCTGGTTGAAATAGCCACTACATTGCAAAGCCCCCATACGTATTCACTGGCAATGGAGGAGCATAGTTTATACAAAGTACTGGCGATGTTTGATGCAAGGAACAAATTGAAGTCAGATTACAGTCCTACATCTGTCCATAAAGTCTTGTGGTTCGAGGAAATTTAACCAATATTTCATTCATTTTTACAAATCTGAAACCCATTGTGTTGGTACACATCACATCAATGTCGCTTCTTCCTCGGACTTGTGGTATCTAAGAAAAGGATCTTTAATAATTATCACAGTTTGAATATATTTTCATTAACATCCCCCTCCCCCGACAAATCCCTTATTTGAATGTCAGGAACAAATCTGAGTCTAATAATAATACCGTATTTGACGTAATAAGCACCCAGGGCGCTCTCAAAATTAGAAATAGGGGGCTCTTATTAGAATATTATTTTGGTGAAAAAAAAACAGAGTTGAAAGATCATAAATTTCGTGGTTTATGCTGACAGCCTGAAATGTTTATATACGAGAGATATATTTTTCAAGAATTTAATTGCCCATACTTAAGGGTGCATATAACATATACATGTACATTGATCAATCGGAAGGGTGCTTATTGGGATTGTTCACTAGCCAATATATTAGCAAATATCGCCATGGGCGCTTATGACATCGAATGTGGTACTTGAGATCCTCTTAATAAAGTTTCAGGTTCCTCGAGTCCATGACATAAGCTACTTGGACCTTTTGTCCTGATGAGATGTAAATAAAGAATCCTTCCTGCATTTGGTATTGGAGTGAGTGAGTGAGTTGTGTTTTACGCTGCTTTTAACAGTATTCCAGTTATATCATGGCATGTCAGCTTAATGCGGGAGGAAAGCCCCAAGTGATGCACATGATGCAGGTCTTAGACGTTTACCACTTAGGTGAAACCCATGAGCAAGTATGGTGCTGACAAACCTAGAAACATAATCAGGCCGAACCGGGATTCGAACCCACAATCATAGGTTTCTTAGACAACTGGGCCACCTGTGTCTCCTTTGGCATTGGAATTACAAAGCATGATACACCACTAAACAAGTTGAGCTATAACATCAGGGGTTTGCCTTACCTTGCCAATAATTGGCAGGTCTACTGAGCCCCAGGAATCCGCTCCCCAATGTACCAGACCACTGAAAAAGTCTGCTGATAAAATTCCTAGAACTAGAAACAAAAGAAAATACAATTATAATATGCCATGCCATCCATTTATCTGTTAAATAAGATAGCTAAGCGATAAATCGCAAAGAACAATTAAGAATGAAGCATAGATTATTACATGATAAATCATTGTTCATTTCTGGAGATTCAAACATAAGCTCGCAACTTTATGACTTCGTGAATTGGAAAACATCTTTTTTAGAGGGAAGTGTCTAGTGAGTTGTTCCCCATAGTTGGATCGCATCCAAAAGTGGGAGAGATATGACAATCGGTATTGGGAGAAAAAGTACAGATAATCGATGTGAGGATTGTGAGAATATGCGGGGAATACCAAACTGGACTTGTCAGACATTTCCGAGGTCGGATTCTATTCAGGAAGTAATCATTATTAAAATACGGGTAAAAAAAGTTAAAACTTGTACATTATATCATCATCCTTAAAAAGGCTGTACATCATGTTGGTATCTCATATAAGAAATAAATGACTTGTGGTCGTTGTTTATCGTACAATAAAACACTGCTGGGATAATAAACCACACAGGACAGCGTCCCTCATGGTTTATTCTCCCTGCAGTGTTTTATTGTACGATAAACATCTACCACTCGTCGTTTACTTCTTAAATCATCAACAGTTTGGCTATCCATTATTGTAACAGGGCATTACGAAGGTCAAATCAATGTTCTAGATTTTCAATGACACAAGGTAACCCATTTGAACTCTCTGAACATGCACTGATCACAATATTAACATGAATCCTTGTAGGAAATGGTTGTGTGTGCAGAGCACAGGTAAAAAAACAGGTGAAATTAATCAAGTTTCGACCTTGAAGCACATATAACACACATGGTGTCTCCTTGGGCAAGTGACATTGTTCAAAACATGCCTCTGTTCACCCAGCAGTGAATGGGTACCCAGAAGGATGAGATGGTAATGTGACTGCTAACCTTCTAGCACCTCACACACAGCCGGAGTGGTACACTATGCAGGGAGCCGCATGAAAGTTTGTGTGCACACTGATCCATTTACCAGGGTAACAGTAATGCAGGGCTTTGAGCATACACTGCGCATTGAGTATGGCGTTTGAGAATTTGCTAGTCAAGCTGAAGACCTGGGTTCAATTCTCCACATTTGCATCCTGTCACACCTGTTTGTTTTCCCCTCCAAACATGGCTAGAATATTTCTACAAGTGGCACAAAATTTCACTCAGCCAAACTGAGTTACAGTACATAATCAAGTTGGTTGGTTTGTTGTTTAACGCCGCACTCAACAATATTCCAGCTATATGACGGCGGTCTGTAAACAATCGAGTCTGGACCAGACAATCCAGTGATTAATATCATGAGCATCGATCCACGCAATTGGGATCGATGACATGCATCAACCAAGTCAGCGAGCCTGACCACCCGATCCCGTTAGTCGACTTTTTGGACAAGCATAGTCACCTTTTACACACATAATCAAGTTTTTACTTACGTGCTGCAGGTAGTATGTAGTACCAGTTTTCAATTTCAAAGTAACGTAATAACTGTATACCATTGAAGGCCATCAGTATAACAGTCACGTAGAAACACGCCACTTCCTGCAGTCGCTTCCCTGAAACAATAAACTGGGTATCAGCATTGAGCAGAGAGAAAACATCATGAGCCAGCTAAACATCCTCAACATGCAGAGACAATAAAATTTATTTCATGGTCTCTGACGCAAATAACATGATGAAAGTACAATGCTAAAATAAATCTTTTTCAAGAAGATGTTATCGTACCTATCGCTAAATCCATATCTATTATCCATAGCTTTTGGGGTGGACAATCCGCTAACAAATGGTTTATTGTGTTCAATCTAATGTTAAAATGCACATCCATAATAAGATAGGGGTGTCACTGTATATCATGATATTGATGTATCAATAAATTTGTAATATGGATGCTTTATCCATACAAATTTATGAATATCCATTCTAAATAAATACTTCATTGCCATAGAAAGGGCAGAAAATTCAACTTTAAGTATATAATGGATCCGACTAGTTCATACTTAACATTAAATTTATTAAATGCAGATCTATATTGGTAATTTTGTACCTATAACAGCTTTAGAAATTGGCACTAGTCCTGTAGTCCTTGCTAAACTGCACAATAGTAAAGGTATCATAAGGACAAGTAGATATTTGCCATTTTAGGGGGTTTGCTATATGTTATCATTATAAGGACTAGTGGACTGAAACTGTTAGTTTCTCCCGCTGCTTTAACCATACATGATACAATAGAATTAATGCTATTGATATATCGCGAGTCCATATATTGATACTAAAATCTCCAATTAATGACACCCCTAAAATATCAGGCTTAAGGCCTCTGAGCATGTGCAGTGACACAGTAAAATTCTTGAAAATCAAAAATCACATCGCCAGTCTGGGACCCCATGTTCATGATTTGGACCACCAAACACTATCACCAATAGTCCTATGGGCCTGAAAATAGATAGCTCCAGGAAAATGCATGTATAATGTACAGAGTAAATATGCCTCATGGCATGGATCATGGATTCTTTTGAGAGGCTAAATTTGTTTATGGATTTTCTAAAACTGAATAAAATGTAAAACGACACAGTAAGTTAAAATTTAACGTTGCATCAGCATTATTTCAGCCGTATAGCAATGCAGACAGTCAGTAGAAAATATTGCCCCTTTGTATGGTTTGCAAAATGGATACTTTCTAGCCATCATCTTAGGAATAAGTTGTGTCCTAACCTTTATGACACGTTGAACAGTACTTCAGTAAATATCAAAGCATGTCAGCTTAAATGAGGGAAGAAAGTCTTTGGCGAAATAAGAGCATGAGCATACTGTTGACTAGGGCTGTTACGATTCACTTGCATATTCGGTGAATCGAACCGTATCCATTCATGAATTGAATTCGTTATTCGTGGCCACTAGAATCGAATATTTATGAATATGCAATCGTGCATTTACATACCCTGTACCTAAAAATATCCATAAGAACATATTATATGCATAGATGTCTTCAAAAGACATAATTTGACAGTGTTGTGGCCACTGGTCATTGTCGCATTTGAGCAGACACCAGTTCCTGGATAAGTGCAGTATATAAATGTATAATATTATTAATAATTAACAAACCATGTCAAATAATTTATGTTGTTATTGTTTCACTGAATATAACAAATAATACATCAACTGCTGACTTGTTATTGTATTCGTGAATAAATATTCGTATTCGTTACCCTATATTAGTGATACGAATCGTACTCGTCTCATAGTGTATTTGTTGCAGCCCTTCTGTTGACACATCCAGGATGCAACTCTGCTAAGTATATTGTAGTGCCTGAGATAACTGAGCCACCTGGCCATTACCATCATACAGAGTAATGCACAGTCAGGGATCAACCTCTAGGCCAGCTGTGGGCCTTGTCTCCTCAGCATGCAAGGTGGTGCCACTTTTATTTGGCACTTGGACTGAATCGTGCATATGGCATATATATGCATGGCATGTCAATAGCTGTTTTCAACAAGGTGTGGATAATCGTGGAAATACTGACATTATGTCCGGCAACATGATACCCTAATGAACATTGTGAATTGTCGACACTAGATATGTCTGGCCAGCAGATCATTCATTCATTCAGCACATTGAACTGGAAACACACTGCATATGAACTTTAGCTCCAGTCCAGTAGACAGCTTCTCTGTAAACGGCAAGCACTTTCAATGCTAACCCTCTGTGATCTGTTCCTGTATTAGCTTACCAGTCCCAGACGAAATTTGCGATACAATTATAAAATTTCTGCAGTAAAATGACCAAAACCCTGCAGCAAAAATTACACAATTCTGCGGTAGAGAAAATAATGTCCTCCTTCAAACATGATTTAATTCAGCCGTAAGAAACATGGTTTAACTTGCACCAGCTGCATGTTGACATGAAAACCCAGTTGCATCAGACAAAACCAGGTTGAACCCTGGTTCCATAAATTTATCATTGTTGAAACATAGGCCCGTCTGCTGCCTGTGTCACATTAATTAAAGACGTATTATTGTAAAATGTAACAGGAACATGTGCACACAATCTTGAAGCACACAATCTTGAAGTACCCAAAGTTTGATGATGTCAAGCCCATGAAAGCATGACAAATTACACATGATGCACAGATTAGAGATGTAGCATGTTAAATAAACCCTAGACTCACTTGGTGCATGTCGACATAAATATAAGGTTGCATTTTTCAATAATAGGTTGTTTTTTTCATATAGCTAAACGAGCACTGTAACATCAATGATACCAATCATATGGTGGACCAGTAAACATTATGTTAACAGCTGTCGATCATTCATGGTCATTAGGAGTGCGGAAAATTGGAAATAGAGCTCTGAATTCTCAACTGATATTTCACATCAGCTGTACAGCCTGTCGTCATTCAATAATCAATACGGTATTGACAGCTATTCCTGCTGACAAAGCTAGGACTTAGTGTTGGGTTAAACTCTGCAATAGATAGCATTTAGTTTCTTCATCATGTGTGTCAGCTTCATCTGGGAGGAAAGTGGAAAGGGATGCAAGCATTCATTACTTTGTTGAAATCCATGAACATGTGGTGTGTAAAATATGCCAAATCACCATTACCCAATTATTTTCCACTTTTTCACTTTGTGTACAAATATAAATCAACGTTTTTTTTAAAAAAGCAGCAAAACAATATTTTGTGTAATAACCCCATATATACTTATCAACCTGCGTCCATGTATTTCTTTACAGATCTTTAAATAGTGAATGACTGCAGCATCACCTCAATTGCACTGAATAACCCATAACATAAATCTTGTTTACTGTAAAAATATTTAATAGGCTGAATTCAGGGGATTACAGATAGAGAGCTACAGATAAGCTGATTATTTGCGTAAAATACCCCCCCCCCCCAAATATTCAAAACCCAATTTCTTTCATTTAACTTGCGTACAGAAATGCATGCATTAAATGTAAAACTCAAATGTATAAAAACAGCATGCGTAAAAGCCAATGAAGCTTTTTCAACATGTGTACAACAGAGCTAATTTCCAAAACGAGCTAATTTACTTTCTAACATGTCTAAGTCAAGTATATATTTAGAATCTTTATATGCATCTAAAACATTATTTCATTTCTTTTGAAATCTCAAAATGTTTACCCAATCGAGTGATGAATAGATGAGTAAAAAAAATATTGGTAACCAAATGAAAAATGCAATAACCCAATTAAAATAGAAACCAAGTAAAATCTCAACTGCTCGAAAGGTAATCTGGAGCTCTGCAGATACATTGCGTGCCCAAAGAAAACAACAACAGCCAACGTGAACAATAACTTGTGAGTAAATACTTAACATTGCTGAATGACTCAATACATTATCTGAAGCCCTGATAATTAGGGTGAATCTGGCACTGGGACCCAATATCATAGATCTCTGCATGCCCAAGGGCTGTCCATCTAATGTCCCAAGCAGTAGACATGGCAGAGATGTCGAACTTCTCCATGAACTACAGGTGACCTAACGCTATTCACAGATGCTGCCAACACTACACTGTTTCAGCATGCTAAGTATTACTGAACATGCTGAGGAGCTGGCAGTAGCAGATGAAGGCCAAACAAAGGTGACATGCTTTGACCGAGTTTACTAGATGTCTGCTGTTCACTTGCAGCTTGCCATTGTTAATTGCAGCTGACTGACTCAACAAACAGTCACAATATCATGAATATAGAGTAGAATGGATTTCATGAAATGTATGCTATCAAGTCTGTTGATCAATATTTGTTATGATTTTATGGTTAAATCTTATGATAATGTGATCAAATTAACATTCAATAATAAATAGTGCTGGTTATCCTTACTAATCAATCTAGTCAGATCTCATTATATTATTAATATATTAAAATGGAGTTATTTTTTCCTAGACAAATATACATATTCAACATACTTCACCTGAAGTGATGAGGTAAATGGAACAATGCTTGTGATCACTTATAGAGCTTGCTTTATGTTCACAGAAAGTATTGGTGACAAGTGGAATTAATACCATGGGGATTCTCAAAAACACAAAGGATTTGCTTGACTTTTTACATTCTCAGAAAAGAGCCAAGTTCAATTTGGTCAAAACATTTGATTTTTCAACTATGTACACCACTATCCCACATGGCAAACTTAAGGAAAAACGTCACTCCTTGGTCCATGGAGCTTTTGTTACAAAACATGGTGACCATAGATATAGTTACATATCTATCTTCAGGTTCAGGACAATTTGTCAAACATGAAAGCAACTGCCATCTGAAGTTTACTGAGAAAACAATATGTATGTAAAACTTGGGGGTAAGACATTCAGGCAAGAAATAGGCAATCCCATGGGCACTAATTTATATCCATACATAAAGATTCAGAGTGTCAAAACAATCTCCACATGACTGTATGACAAGAGGGATGACTGGACTTTCCAAAAGTCAACCTTCCCTTCATGTAAATTTGCCCTTTGCTGTGTCCATTCTTTCACCTATCAGTGCTAATTACCCCGGCGCCCCCATTTGCCCAGTGTCCATTACCAATTACTTATCTATGATAACTTAAGTATGGGCTTCCTTTGTCTATTGCCAATCACCTATCAGCGCCAATCATCTGTTGGCTTCCTTAGTTAGCTTCTACCCTTAGTTATTTTCCACCTTTTGTTATCTTATTAACTTTCAAAGACCTTGTAACACATGTTCCTGTTGGTTTTTTTCAGGTGAACAATTGTCTTGCCTATGCATGTGTTTGTGATGGATGCAACATGTGGGGCAGGATACGCACCCCTTTTCGCGAATACCTGGTATCATCACCATTTATTAGTGATTCCTAAACACATGCTCATGATGTAGTTGGAATCGTACAATCGACTCCATTTTTGACAGAGTTTTCATGAATATGGAAAGGGTTATGGTCGATTTTATTATAGAAAAATATCAACTGGATAACAGGATATAGAGAGTTACTGCTTCAGGGTTAGAAATTGGCACTAGTCCTATAGTCCTTGCCAAACTGCCCAAAAGTAAAGGTATCCTAAGGACTAGTAGAATTTTGCCATTTTTAAAGGTTTTGCTATATGCTATCATTATAAGGACAAGTGGACTGAAACTGTTAGTTTCTACCGCCGTTTGACAGCTCCATCAGCCTTTCACATCATCAGATTATTTTGTAAACTGTTAAACAATGGAAACATCAATTCTATTAAATACATCACATCATCAGATTAAATGACTATCAGATTGATTGGAAATAGACAAAGTTGTATTAATACCACATTATGATATATGCAACTGTTAATAATATCTCCTACTCCAATGATGAAGACATAACAACATCAACATACTATTTTAATATCCAGGTCAGGTGTTCCTAGTTATGTGAATATCTTATTGGAAGTCTTTGCTATTGAAGCTATATGCAGTTGCATCATGGGTGCATACAAATTTGACCTTCAAAGCCAACCAAATAAAAATAACAAGCAATAACATAAGCTCATATTGTTGATGTGAGATAAAAACCAAGGTGGACAAAAACAAATTGTAAATAGTTATTTAATAACGTCATTATTAAATCTAGACATACGCTTATGAAAGTGTTTTTGAGACATTTTGTGCTGGTCAGTTAAACCCATCAAGATAATCCTGATGATTAGATACTGTTTTAATGCTTTCATCAGAAGTTGATTGATGCACAATGGTATTTCAAAGTAGAATGTCTTGAAAGACAAGGTTGTGATGTACTTGATGCCATGATACAACAAGAACAATATGGTAGATGTTGTAGATGTTGCACATGTTGTATGTAAATGTTGCATTGTAAAAAACATATGTGCCAGTCTAAACATGAAATTATACAATTCTGACATAAATAAGATGGGGACAACACACAGATACAGACACAAAGTCAAAGCATACACATGTACGCATAGGGCTGTCTGTATTTGTTTCTGTGTTTCCAATCTCCAATGAAACAATAAAAAAAATTCTTATCTCAGCCGATACATAATTATCAGTGCATACGATTGTTCTGATGCAAAACATGTTGATTCAACCCATTAATAACGGTTGTGATTCAACCGACCAACAGCTGATAGAAATCACCAAAATGTGCATATTATATAACTTCGTATTAGATATCCAGGAAGAGAACAGATTTTTTTCCTTTTCGGCGATTTGAAATTTTGTAAGAAAAAGTGTTTAATGTATGGATAATTGGGTCGGGAATATAACATTACATATGTAATATTATCATCTATATTGCATGCAATCACGTACTTGGTGTCCTTTCACCACAACATGTATTATTTGCAGGTTGCCAAGCAAGTTCTGACACTTGACAGCTGACCTACCTGCTGTGTACTGGCTCGCCAATTCCTTTGCTCCGGCGTGCCGGGGGCCCCATCTTGTTTGTTTCGCCGCTTTATTGAATTGAATGTTACTGTTTGGGTCATCCTCCGTCATGGAATTATGTAAAATTTCGTCCTCTGACTTGAGACCCATGATTTGTGTTACTGGCCGCCGTCTGATTTCACACCGGAAGTCTGACCTCGCCTGATTTCCTGTACAGCAGCAAATGTAGAGCGCAGAAGTTGTTTGTTGAAAATGATATTAAAATATATTTGCCACAGTTCAATGCTATTTCGACGTACAATTATTCAGCGCGTGTCTCTCTTTATTTCATATTATTTATGAATAGCAATGAATCTATTTTAGCATACTGCAGTTAACGTCTTTTTGACCTTTGACCTCAACCTTCACATGTGCGGTCACTTGTCAGTAAGCTTGCATGTTATGTAAACGTGACAAGTTTCACGCGTACATATCGACTAAACAAGACCGTGAATCATTCACCAAATCAAAAGGTGTATATCGATCTGTCTTAGCATAGTCAAAGTCTTTGCTATGCAAAGGTACAAATGCAATCAGCCATGGTTGAAGTTGGCGCAATAGGGGAATTAGCTATAGTCTTACGCTATGACTTTACTGGTACTGACATTATTTATTGGGACATTTATCATTTTATTATATATATTTCTCTTTCACATACCGACATTGACTTACATAGGACTGTTTCTCTTTTCACCACTCACTCATATATGATTTTCTGGTAGTTTCAATTTATTTTAGTAATTTTAGGTCTTTGGCCTATGTGTACAAACGTTATAGTACAGGCGGAATTACCCATACAATTCTTTCCATATGTGCATAGTTCAAATATTTTATTAAATTTTAATGATGTTACGGTTTGGCGATGACATCATATTGTTAAATTTATGGATGTTAGGATGAAGATATGATTTTATGAACTCAGTGTATTTAACTATGAACGTTGCTTCCTCTAAAAGGCGACTATGTCGTAAGAGGCGACTAACGGGATCGGGTGGTCAGGCTCGCTGACTTGGGTGATGCATGTTATCGATCCCAATTGCGTGGATCGATGCTCATGTTGTCAATCACTGGATTGTCTGGTCCAGATTGATTATTTACAGACAGCCGTCATATAGCTGGAATATTGGTGAGTGCGGCGTTAAACAAATGAACAAACAAACAAAACTATGAACGAATATACAGAAAGATGTTCACATGTCAGCTGTTGTGAACCTGCACATAATTAGACATCTAACTGAACAGAGCTCGCCCCGAGAGGACTTCCCTTGACACAGACTGTAACGAGAGATTAAGTGACCAGTGACCTTATAACATCATTCAGGGTATGAGGGCACAGGGAGGTTAACCCATAATAGGCTTATGATAGAGAATGAATGACGTTACCGTATTCAACGTAATAAGCGCCCCGCTCTAATAAGCGCCCACGGCGATATTTGCTGATATATTGGCTAGTAAACAATCCTAATAAGCACCCCTTCCGATTAATCAATGTACACACGACTTATTTATTCTCGATATGCACACCCGTGTGTTATATGCACCCTTAATTATGGGCAATTAAATTCTGGAAAAATACATCTGTCGTATAAACATTATAGGCTGGCACCTTAAACCACAAAATTTATCTTTCAACTATGTTTTTTTTTCCCACCAAAATAATATTCTAATAAGAAGCCCCCTATTTCTAATTTTGAGAGCGCCCTGGGCGCTTATTACGTCGAATACGGTAACTTACAAGTGGACCCTAATTAGCTGATGATTCCAGCAAGGATGTATAATAATAATGATTGTGAGTCTGTTATCTCTGTAATGAATATTCAATGTCAAATCATGTTTATTTCGGCTTTTACATCAGAATCACTTATACAAAGAGAGAAGCACACATTCAAATAAATACCATGCATTATTGAACAGTGACAGGTGATAATAATGATTGCCTATAGTTTAAGTCTTCCTTCACATATCGTGAACAGTTTTCTAATCATGATTTACAATTGCAGTTTAATAGCTTTGAATATTTCACAACATTTGAACCATTTAGGCAAATACATTATTTGTAATGAATTATTTTGCTTTACATTCCAACATGAAATGGAGTTCATCCTCGCTGTATCTGCTGTCACATATTTTACATATACCACTTAATCATACAAGATCTAATCTTCCCGAGGCAAGAGAGTTAACTGACTTTAAAAGTCCAGTTTCCACCCTTGCCGAACTAAGCTGGAATTATTGGGCTTGATCGTAGCGCCACCAGTGGCTATTACCAGTTATGTCCCTTTGAAGCCTCTCCTATGGACCAATCATATTCCATCACTTGCGTTTACTTCACACAAAATGGTGGCGCCCATTTAGGACGATCTGATCGATAATCAAGATCTATATTGTTATAAAACATGTCTTGCATTGCGAAATGCATCAAATCACGTAAGCACCTTGATTAAAAACATGAAAAGATTTGGAAAATATCCGCTGACAACGAGTTGGCGGTGTACATGCTTTGCAAATCCTGCAGTCCATCGAAATCTGCACGACAGTTTACGAACTGGATTTCGATTTTGGTGCGCGATTTTGATTGGACTATGCATAGACTCGTTAGTCCAGCCCAAATCTAACTCCATAATACCAGCCTAGTTCGGCAAGGGTGGAAACTGGACTTTTATAGTCAGTTAACTCTCTTGCCTTGGGAAGATGACAAGATCTTTACTTTTGTGATTACGTTACAATGGTAAAGTCTGTAGTGACAGTCTAAGAAGACATACATATATATATCTTCTGATCTCTTAACATGAATGTTTTCCACATAATATTAACATCTGACAGCGACTTAATCTGTTTATAATGCACGAAATGTCGAGAATCCATAATCTCCTTGAACATTGTTTATTACAATCCACAAATCTTTGCTTGAAAATAGAAATATACATTACATGAATACTAAAACTGGATTAGAAAAAATTATGCGGCCTTTGATCAGGTTGTTTTATACTAATACCTATCAAGAAATATGCCAAGAAATATAACTGGTTATTTGATGCTGTAGAATATACAGATGCTGAAATCAATAAATACAACATGAGTAGTATTAGCAAGTCTTCTTGACTTGTTTACCAATCCAGTTTCATTGAATAAAAATTTGTTTAAATCATACAAAATGAGTGAGTGAAAATCTCCTGTAACTACATAGTGATATTGTAACCAAGGTAATTTAATCTATTTCAGATGTCATTGCAGATGGAGAGGTCATCCCTGCTTCTGTCGACAGCAATTAGACAACTGGTGCGACTTTCACAAACACGTCATCTCGCAGCCAAGCCTCTGAAACCAAGCAAAGCTAAAGGGAAGGAATCCCAGGTATTTTGTGTCAGCTCAATTCACTCATTGAGGGAGCAGAGTTAAGTCCCTTTTCTCTTTAGACATATTAGGAGTTGCTGGTGATGGGTCCAAACCCCAGACTTGCCCCAATTAGGATCCAGTGATGTTGCAAGAGACAAATGGCACTAGGACATTTGCGTGCGGTGTCTGAAACTCCCCAGAGTAAACTGAGAGCCTTAAGGGCCAGCACATTTCAAAAGCTAGGCCCATTGGAAAAACTGTAGGTGCATTGGAAAAACTGTAGGCCCATTGGAAAAACTGTAGGTGCAAACATTTAGCTGAAGCAGGGAGACATACTCTTGCAATATAAATTACAAAACATAACCAGTTAACCAGAAGCTTTTACTGCCACAGGTTTGGTGGTGGTGGTGATAGATGAAGCCTACATTTATCAGAAAATTATCACCTTGTGAAACTGTAGCAGGGCATAGAGTCATCCCACAGATGACATCCTTACCTTGTCAGCTTGCTGACGGGGTTAACCTCTTTGGTCATGTGGACAAGGCGTTCGACCTCTGATCAGAAGGTCCGTGGTTCGAATCCCATCACGGGACTCTGAAATTTTATGGCCGCTACATTGGCGTCCAACGTGGGACTGAGCACGTTCATATTAAATTTGAGCAAAATAAGCCTCAGTACCCTACTATGCGGCCCGGGACGTGCCTTCTGTTGACGGGGGAGTATGTAGCAGGGCGTAGAGTCATCCCACAGATGACATCCTTACCTTGTCAGCTAGCTGACGGGGTTAACCTCTTTGGTCATGTGGACAAGGCGTCCGACTCTGAAATTTTATGTTCGCTGCAAAACATCTTTGCGAGTACATGTCATACACCATTTGAAAGGTCTAATCCTGCTGTTTATGCATATGAAAGTTTTGTTTATCACATTAGATAAATAATGCTTAATAAATAATTCCTTAAATAAACTGCAGGCCGTAAGGGCCTGCTGAAATTTAAAACTATCAGATCTGTCGGCCTTGGGCCTACAGGTCAATGTCTATTTCCACCACTGTTTACATGACTGATAAACTTTTGAAAGTAGATTCTGCTATTTCTTTACCAATTACGAAAAAAGACATTTGGAACTTTGGATGATCTACGTAGCTATGGACCCTGCGATTGTCATGGTGGTTAATGTCTAAGACCTGAGTCACCTTGGACATGCCTTTGACATTAGCAAATTTCATTTCCATGACAGCTGCTTTGTTAAAAATTAAGTTTTAAATTTATCTTTTTTTTTTTGATTATTAAAATGCTCAGTTTACGATTACTGTTTATTTAGTGTGTGATTGTGATTGATACTACTATCGAGGGGTAAAAAAATCACGATCCACGGATACATCTAGAGATTATGCACCTTTACTTACAATGGAAAAGGTGTATCGGCCAATACAGCTATTGTTATAACAATGGAAACCATGGCAACATGACAAGAAGTGGGGAATAATGAAGGCGTTTTTTTGTTGTTTCCAGGTTAAGCATTTTGTGGACTTCAGGAGGGTTGAGGTGATTGGTGGTGGTGGAGGTCATGGCTGCATGGCCTTAACAAGTCTCCATCGTAAAGAGTGGGCGGGACCAGATGGTGGAAATGGTGGCAATGGCGGCCATGTTGTGTTCAAAGGTGAAGGTTGTTGTTGTTACAGTGTATATATTCAGTTAATGTGATCCTTCAAATTATGAGACAAGGCAGGTGCCTTGTATCTTGTACATTCTATATGTTTTAAGTTATGCATAACTTTTTGGACAACTGCTGTCGTTCTTTTTCAAGAACACTGGTAATCTCCGGCGTCTTGTTTCAAGTAGCCATCTTGAATATTTTACGTGGCCACATGGTTGATGAACGTGGTTCATGTGCTATATTCTTCTTTCCCTGGTATCTCATTATTGTCGTACCCTTGCAAGTGTATTGTTTGTCTTTGTATGTTGTCATACGGTTTCGTAATCTTGTTTTCATGAACCCAGGTAGTTTGGAAAACACATTATAGCTTCCATAATCGGGCGTGGATGCATTGTGATTTGTGCCATCCTGTTTCAAGTGCCGGCATAATATCTTGGCGTGGGATCCCCTCCCCTTGTACATCACCATGCCTCCAGTCTCCTCGATGTAAAGACTGTCTCCCGAAGGACATCGAGGACACATATCTACATGTCCCAATCCATCCCAACGACCGGAAATTCCTCCGCTTCATCTTTATGGGAGTCCATTACCAATGGGCGGTCCTCTGGAATGGAATCTCTTTGGCCCCGTGGCTATTCACATGCCTTACCAAACTGATGGCCTCATACCTCCATCTCCGGGACTTTCAGTTCGAGGCCTACATACATGACCGCCTCCTGAATCATTGGGACACAGTCACAGGGACTTTAACCTCCGTCTCCACCACCTTGGTTGAAAGATCAATCTCAGGAAGTCAGAGTTGACGCCCTCATTCCACCTTCAGTTCATCGGGGGGTCTTTTTGAGACCAACCTCGACCTCCTCTCTGTACCCAGGGACCGGTGGGAACACATACAATTACACTTTGTCCCAGATCTCCACCAGCCACACACGCTGTGTCAGTGGCAAGTTCTCCTGGACCTCAACCTGACATACAGTGGAAGGCTCCAACTACGCCCAGTCTAGATGTTCATGGTTCCCTACATCAGGCATCAGGATCCCTCAGTTTCCATTGTCGTCCCGGATCACCTCAAACCGCACCTCTGGTGATTGACAGTGGAATCCAATGTCTTAGGGATTGGGCACACACCTAGATGGACAAGTCGCCTTAGGGCTGTGCCCCACCGATTGGCACCAGTGCCACATCAACAACCTAGAACTTGGAGCACTTATTCTGGCTATCTCCGGCTTTCAATCTCGACAGACAACATAACTGTTGTCTGGTGTCTTCAGAAGCAAGGAAGAACTCATTCATCCTTGCTCCTTGAACATAGCTTGTGGATTGACTGAAGATCCATTTCCAGGTCCTACACATTCAAGGCTGTTGCAACATCCCGGCGGACGATCCATCTCGGTCAGACAAAGTCGCAGAGTGGAAGCTCCACCTAGACGCCTTCGCTCTTGTTTGTCAAGACCACGGTCTCCCCAACATAGACCTGTTTGCCACCAGCCAGAACCATCAGATAGCGACATTCATATTGCTGGCACTTGATCCCCTTGCCTGGGGGGTTGACGCCTTCAGCGTACCCTGGGAAGGACTAAAACCGTATGCTTTTCCATCACCTGTGCTACTTCTCAAGGTCATCCAAAAGATCAAATCGATGCAGAGCCTCGATCTCACTTTGGTCCTGCCCTGGTGGCCTGCAAAGCCCTGGTTCGTCGACCTCAGAGAATCAACCACCGCCGACCTGCTACCACTCACACACTGGCAGTCACACGTGGGACCAGACAGGTTATATCTTCACTTCTGGTCCATATACAGAGGGCGTTAAATGTAAAGGGACCTTGGCCAGAACAGCGTAGGCCATCACGATGGCACATCGTCCATCCACTGGAAGAATTACAGCCCTTATTCCGCTCATTCAGACAGGAAGACCTGAAGGTGAAGTTTCGTCCACCAGCTTGGTACTTAAACACCGTTCTCACCTTGCTGAGAGACGTGACTTTTGAGCCTCTCGACACAATGTCGTTCTACCATCTGACCGAAAAGACATCTTCCTCCTGGTACTCGCTACAGCCGCCCATGTCAGTGAGCTACATGTCCTGGACGTCACGCGTGTTCGTTTTGGGCATCTAATGCACGGAGCTGTTCATCTGACTGTGCTGGGACTTTATTGCCAAGAACCAGCTTCCATTACAGCCCGATAAATATTCAGAAAATAATAACTTTTAGAAAACATCATAATTTTGAACAAAATAACAATAATTTCCTAATTTGAAATGTTAGATAAATCCCTTGTGTTTTTAAAATATTGAAGTATTTCAAAATTTGAAACCTGCTTACTTAGGGGCATGAAATATTCTATTACACTCGCAAATTTTAAAATGTTTTTCCCCTATATTCAGGCTAATCTTGTGGTTGTATGACTATGATACGTATGCGCATGCCTGGAGATATTTTAAATGTCTGTTGCAGCATCTGCAAACAGGAAGTCCCTGATTGACCTTGACCCTGTGATTAGAGCCGACAGTGGAGGGAAAGGTCATGCCAGAAACTGCCATGGCAAGAACGCAGAACACTTGATGGTAGAGGTGGGTATTGATGAATAGCAAGGTCAATTTGAAGTCAGGTATTATATTCAACTGCTTGGGAATTGCACAACCCTGCTTGTATTTCACGACATCCATGTTCCCTTAGTTTCTACACTTTGTCTCTATATTTCGATATAACACAGAATATGATACATGGAAAGAAGAAACCTGTTTTTTTGAGGAGGTGTATTCTATTGGGTCAGTGAAAACAGATCAATTTTTGATGAACTTTTTCGAGAACTGACTGGGTATGCATTGTGAATGTAATACTATTGTATAAGGATAAGGTGTTCTGGTATTGTTGTGTTCACTGCATAACACACGCTGGACCCCAGTGGGGCCCAGTAGAATATGTCCCCAGCAACTCAGTTCTACTTGTAAGGGGGACTGAATTGGGAACTCATGGGGGGCCCTATGCTAAGTTAATGGTTTAGTTGGTCATGTTAAGTGACTTGGTCTTGCTACGGCTGACAGGGCTACAATATATCCTGAACAACAAAAGATTTAATGCAAAGTTATGTTTTTTACCAAATCTGAAACAATTTCGGTTTGCAATAGATAAAAGACTCCTGTAAGTGTTCAAATGGTTTAATTTGCCATACTGTCTTCAGAAAATGCGTGATTTCATAAAACAACATGAACATGCCAAAATGTCAATTTACAAGTCAGTAGCATGTGTGTCCACCTCTGGTTGCGATGCAAGCAACACATCTTCATCTCATGGAATGGACCAGGCGTCGCACAAAGTCCTGTGGGATATCTGTTCATATCTGCTGGAGCATGTTTCGAAGTTCCTAGAGTGTCTGGAACACGTGGTTGACGTCGAAGGCGCCGATCCATCTTATCCCACATGTGCTCGATTGGTGAGAGATCAGGGGAGCGAGCCGGCCAGGGGATATCATTCACATTGTTTTGTTGAAGAGAATACTGAACAAGTCGAGCAATATGAGGCCGGGCGTTGTCATTTTGAAAGGTAATGCCTGGGCCATGACGACGCAAAAACGGTAGAACAACAGGGCCGATGATCTCGTCGCGGTAGCGCTGTCCATTGAGATTTCCCTCTACCACTATCAAATGGGTCCTCTATCTTGCTGTAATCCAACCCAATACCATAACCGTTGTTCTTCAATGATACAATGATTGACGTAACGTTCACCTAGACGTCGGTACACTCAAATCTGTCCATCGCTGTGGCTGAGGTGAAAATGAGACTCGACGATGAAAAGAACTTGTCCCCAATGCATGGCCTTCCAGCGTAGATGCTGTCAGCACCACTGTAGACATGCTTGATGGTGGTTTCCTGTCAAAATGGGACGTCTGGCGGGTCGTGGAGTGTCTGTGGAACACGTGGTTGCCGTCTCATCCCACATGTGCTCAATTGTTGAGACATTGGGGGAGCGAGCCTGTCAGGAGATGACATTCACGTTGTTCTGTTGAAGAGAATCGTGAACAAGTCGAGCAATATGAGGCCGGGCATTGTCATTTTGAAACTCGTCAGTGAATAAAACATCCAGCCCTTCATCCAGAGTGACGATTGCCTGACTCCGATCTCCCTACCGCTTCCTCTGCGTCATCACCCTAGTGGTGGCTGGTATCATCCAATGTTTGTGACGGGGCCCCTTTGCAGCCTTTCGTCCCAAACCTACACCTGTTCTTCGACGCATTGGCTGTGGGCTGGGGAGCGCAAACCACGATCTACATGTAGCAGGGCCAAGGTCCGTCGAAGAGTTCAAGGCAGTCATCTTGGTGGTACATCATTGGTCAGAGCTCCTTCGTTCATCATGCCTTATGAACCTTTCGGACAATCTGTCTGTCATCAGATACATAAACAAGCTGGGTTCTAACAAGTCGATGTTGCTCCTGTTGCTCTAGATCAACTTCTCCCAGGTGATCGACTCCCTCAACATTCATGTTCGAACATGGCACATTCCTGGGATCTCCACTGTCCTGACCGACACACTCTCCCCAACAGAATGGTGTCTCCACCTGTTGAACATCAGGTGGATATGCCAACTCTACCCGTTCCCAGAGATCGATCTGTTTGCAACAAGTTTCAACGCTCAGCTCTCCTGATTCATCTCTCCCATTTCACTCTTGGGAAATTAAGCTTGGGATCACTATGCTCTGGCGATCTCATGGGAAGGCTCAACATTTACGCCTTTGCCCAGACCGCATTCTACCTCAGGTCCTTCAGACACCAGTCTCCTTACACTGACTTTGGTTGCGCCTTTTTGGCCAACTCGGATTTGGTTCACCACGCTGGTGCAGAAGGTTCCACTGTCTTCTACTCAAGATGACCTGCTTCTGCAGCCTCATTCCCAGCTGCTCCCCCAACTCCAAAACAGCGTTGTTTGGGCGCATCTCCAGAGGTCCTTTGTAGCCAAAGCGGGTTGCTAAGACCATTATAGGGCTCACCGTTCCTCTACTCAAGAACTTCTACGACCACAAGTGGGAGGCGTTTGAGGCCTATTGTCACGCTCGTGATATTTCCACTCCCATCTTTGCTTCCCTGCTACAGGTCGCTGAATACATCCATCATTTGAGGTCTACACGGAAGCTTAAGGGATCTGCTTTGGCCACATATCTGGCTGTGATCATCTCCATCATTGCTACCACCACGGGTTTGAAGATCTCTGCAGTTGTGGACTTCAATCCCTCATTCAGTCCTACAAGTTGGCATTCCGTTTCCGACCTTTTACGTGGGACCTTTACGTAATTCTCTGTCATTCAACTTGGACGATTATGAACCACTTGCTGACAAGGAATTCGAGTTGATCACTTTCAAGACTGTTTTTCTGCTGGCCCTTGCAACTGCTGCACGTGTTAACCAGATCCCAGATCCACACGCTTGATGTTAACATGATCCTGTTTGAAGGTTTTTCTGGGCCTGGCCATGCAAGATGAGTGTTGCATCCTGTCTTTTAGCCTGGAGACCCCTTCAGATCAATAATAAGTTGTAACCTGTATTGCTTGTTCTTTACAGATTGCCGTCGTTCATGTAACAATGTCAGACGTGAAAACATGTTCTGCATGATATACCCAATTTCATGCTGTTACGTTCAACTAACATATCGTGATCGTATCACCAGATTTGCTGTGTTTTCTCACTCACGAGTTATTGTCTTTAAGACACTAAGAAACCAAGACACTTAAGATATTTTATAAAGTTCACTGTTTAGCACCTGCTTACCTGTGTATGGAGGCTATGACAGGCTGGGGTATCAGCACCACACTGTCCACACGTGGGATAAATGCATAGTATGAGATAGGATAAGTTTAAAAATTTGGAAATTTTATTGTCAATTGTATATTTAAATTCTTATTTTATCTCACACGTTATATGCCCTCCCAACCATCCCCACAACTGCTCCATCCTGTAAGCTCTGATGGAAGAGAATGATGAGGCAGGGTGAATTACATGATTAGACCTTGTAGCTTGCTATACGCTGGAGTATATAAAAAAATAACAGTGTGTGACAGAGGATCGAAGGAGAAAGAAGAGATGCATTGAATGAGATAGATAAAAATATACAATTAACAATAAAATTTACAATTTTCTTCACCTGTAGGTACTTGGGGACAATAAAAGGATGTGTGGCAGGTGTTGATGGGGATGAAAATAAAATGATTATATTTTTCGACCTTTGAAGATCCGGGTAAAGAATTCTGAAAGGTTTTCAGCAACTCATGCTTGCTGTAAAAGGCGACTATGCTTGTCGTAAGAGGCGACAAACAGATCAGGTAGTCAGGCTCGCTGACTTGGTTGATGCATGTTATCATTTCCAGTTGCATGGATCGATGCTCATAATATCAATCATTGGACTGTCTGGTCCAGACTCGATTATTTACAGACCTTTGTCTAGCCGATATATTGCTGAATGCGGCATTAAACAACAAACAAGCAAACAAGATTCTATTTTTCCTACAATGTAACACCAATTTCCAGGTCCCGGTTGGCACTGTTGTAAAAGACGAGGATGGGAAGACTCTGTCCAGTCTGGAGGCTAGTGGGGAGTACTATGTGGCTGCTCGGGGAGGTGCAGGTGGTCATGGTAACCACTTCTTCCTGTCCAATGAGAATCGTGCACCAGCGTATGCAGAAGCTGGCGCCGAGGGTCAGAGACGGGTTCTGCTTGTAGAACTGAAGACAATGGCGCATGCTGGGCTGGTAAGTAACTGTAATCACTAAGAGAACGATTGTGAAGAAATTAAGAAATTGAATTGACCCACCAGTTAAATTTGTGATTTAGAGTTTCTTCTCTGACTGACTGTGAAGATCTGGTTTAGAATAGCCTTCAGCAACCCATGCTTGCCGTAAAGGCGACTATGATTGCCGTAAAAGGCGACTATGCTTGTCGTAAGAGGATCAGGTTGTCAGGCTTGGCTGATGCATGTCATCATTTCCAAATTGTGTAAATCAATGCTCATGATATCAATCACTGGATTGTCTGGTCCAGACTCGATTATTTACAGACCTCCGTCATATAGGTTATGTGTTCGATTCCCAGAATCAGTCCATTTGTGATCCTTCAGTTTGATTAATGGCTGATACTGGTAGATAGACATGGCAAGTGACCTCGGATACAAGGATCTTCCACTACAAATGAATGTCCACAACAAACATACAGTGGAGATTAGAAGATCACTGCTGATGTTCTGAAGTTTTCTAAAGGCCACAACAAATTACAGTCAAGTCTCGTTAATCCAACATGGTTGGTTGCACATGATTATGTCAGATTAACGAGTATGTCGGATAAATGAAATGAAATTGTAATTAGATCACGATACAAACACGTTGTAATAAAAAAATGAAAAATGAAATATTCATATTGCTATGTTACATTGTTAGCGGAATATGTTTTGGAATCATGCAACCTCTAAAGCTTAACACAAAACTACTGTTGACTGATTCAAAATACTTTTGAAAGAACAGTCTGGAATAGAAGTCGCCAGTTTGAAACTAGTGCCATAAAGCTCAAGAAAGCTGCTTATTTAGTGGCTAATATCAACTTCCTGTTAGTCATTGCGAAAGGTCGGTCTGACGTGACCTGCAATGGGATGTCCTCAGCGGTAGCGAGAACTTGCATCTGATTTTTTGGAGATTGAGGTAATCTAAGCAAGTGATTTTCTAAAATCCTGTTTTGTTTATTTAAAGCATTAATTGTTTATTGTTAAGCAAGCTAAGCAGCCATTGTAATATGCAGCTACTAGACGACTCGTCTCGCATCAAACCACGGGCTGTGTACTCGCGGGTAGATGACCACGGAGTACGCTGATCACTGTGTCTGATTAACAAGACTGATTATTTAGCGATTTTGGTAATTTGTTGCAAATTAGGTGTGTTGGAGTCAGAGTGCGAGACTGTCGGAGTAACAGGTCTAAATAGCAATGATTTAATCAGTTCCCATCAATAGTGTCGGATAAAGCCGATGGATGGATTAAAGAGTGTTTGATTAATGAGACTTGACTGTAATTATATATTAATAGTTTAAAAAAATATGAGGTGGGATGCAACATATTTTTTATATTTTATTAACAAACTTTTCAAGGCACCAGGGTTAGGGATGGACTTCAGCAACCGATGCTTGTCGTAAGAGGTGATTCACGGGAAGTGGAAGAGGGGAAGTCAGGCTCCCTGACTTCGTTGATGCATGTCATCGTACCCCACATTCCATAGATGCTCATGATGTCAATCACTGGATTATCTGGTCCAGACTGAGTTATTTACAGGTGGCCATCAAATAGCTGGAATTTTGCTGAGTGTGGTGTTAAACAAACCAACACATAAAAAAACAAAACAACAAAAACACACAAACAAACAAAGAATTGCTGTCAACTGATGAGATTCGCATGATGGATGATTGGCATGTATGCTTGAATTCTTGGAAGACAAATATTTTTTATTTTAGATAGGATTCCCGAATGCTGGGAAGTCTACCCTTCTGCGCGCAATCTCTCGTGCCCGGCCGAAGGTGGCGTCGTACCCATTCACCACTCTCAACCCTCATATTGGCATGGTGATGTATGATGACTTCGAACAGATCGCCGGTGAGGAGAATGTTGAATTTGATAATATTTCAGGATACGCAGACAACATTTCTAAACCAAACACATACGTGTATACCTATCTACATGAGTTTGATAAAACGCCGCTTTCAACAGTATTCCAGCTATATCATGGCGTGCCAGCTTGATTTAGGAAGAAAGCTTGAATTGATGCAGGTCTCAGACGTTTACCACTTTTGTGAAACCAATAAGAGAGGGCTCCTGATATTATTCTAATAAAGAATGATAGAAACACTTGAACAATCTGTTTGATAAATGTGAAAGAGTCTTTGGTAATTTTATTTTTGCATTTGTCTGGTATTTAGGGACCGGCCATTTATTACTAGGGGTGTCAGAAGTTTTTGATGCACTGATGTGTAGAAAATAATGACCCTCCCCAAATGCTTGTCATATTTTTTCATGACCCTCCCTGAAAAGACAAAATTAAAAAATATAAAGTTAAGAATTGGTAGCTTAAACAGTATAATTGCTAACAAGGCCCTGTTTACATGCATCCATTTACCCCTGGGGTATTTTCGTGGGAATATTTGCCTTTCAGGGTAATTTTGGGTAAATAAACACAAAATGTCCCCAGTGGTAAATTTGCCCTACCTCCGGACTTAGGGCAAATTTTCTTACCCTCACTTCAGATTAAATGTCGATCTAATTGTCCGTGTGTTGTGTGTGTTCTCCTTCAATTTTGGTCCCCGCAAAACCGAACACTCAACCGGGGTAGAATAGGTCTTCAGCAACCCGTGCTTGCCGTAAAAGGTGACTATGCTTGTCGTAAAAGGCGACTAACGGGATCGGGTGGTCAGACTCGCTGACTTGGTTGATGCATGTCATCGATCCCAATTGGGTGGATAGATGCTCATGATATCAATCACTGGATTGTCTGGTCTAGACTCGATTATTTACAGACAGCCGTCATATAGCTGGAATATTGCTGAGTGTGGCGTCAAACAACAAACCAACCAACCAACCAAACCATGCACCTTGGATGTTGGTGCCACCTGCATGTAAGATTTCAGATCCCTATGTTGTCTGTGGACTATGTATCGTGGACTGCAGCATGGCAGTCTGGTAGGTGGGGCTTATCTTTATTTTCACACTGTCTGTTGGACTATGTATCGTGGACTGCAGCATGGCAGTCTGGTAGGTGGGGCTTATCTTTATTTTCACACAGGCTGCGTAGTGCAGCATCTTCAGCAACAAGCATTGATACAAAATTGACGTCAACGTCAGCCATCCTGAGGAAACGTCTCAATCTCCCTTTGAATCGTCCGAATGTGTTCTCAATCGTTATATGTGAACTGTGTGGGTGGTAGTTGAAGTACGCCTGTTCTGCTGTGAGCTGTCCTCTGATTGTGAATGTTTTCAGGAGCCAGGAGGTCAATGGGTAGGCTGTGAATCAGTATACTCCCTGCATAATGATGAAGCACCACTCTTTTCCGTTGGCAAAGCCAGCATGGCAATAGTTCGGAGCAATCATGGGAACATGTGTCATATCTATTGCTCCTGCACATTTTGGAAGGTTCCTTTTGTCTTTATTACCTTCAAAAACCTCCATGTGGAAATCTGACCAGTTTCTTTGAACATTGTCTGAAATACGGCTTCACAGACGTCATGGATGCAGGGGGGCGGTCGGGTAGCCTAGCGGTTAAAGCGTTCACTCGTCACGCCGAAGACCTGGGTTCGATTCCCGACATGGGTACAATGTGTGAAGCCCATTTCTGGTGTCCCCCGCCATGCTATTGCTGGAATATTGCTAAAAGCGGTGTAAAACCATACTCAGTCAGTCATGGATGCAGATACACACTGTTGACCTGGCTATTCTTTACAAGTTACCGATAAACAATGGAGATAGCTCTATGGACATACAACTTGTTTATTACAATGAATGTGACATTTCAATGTATATACCAACACCGTTCTCAAGCAAATGATGTACAGAAATGAGGAGTAGGGATGTTATAGACATGTGGATAATTGATGTTTATACAAGGTTGAATGATGATAGATTGATGTTTACACAACAGATGAGGTTGAAGTATAAAGCCTATTGATGTACATATCATAATATAGAGGATTAACAAGGCATGATTGAGTAAAACATTCTCAAAGCCAATGGCAGACCTTACCCACATGTATGTAACCTTCCTTCTTCACATTTCTGCACATCATTTGCTTCAGTAATTAGGGATGGTCTCCAGGCAGATGCTCTATCCACTAGACCATGGAGACGTTCTATGGTAGTGAGGTGAGGTGAAATGGGGTTTAACGTCCCGTCCAAGAATATTGCGCTTACATAGTGACGTGTGTGCGTGCGTCTGCTAGTCTGGACTGATGGCATTTATATTGCTAGCCCACTGAGATAGTATGCCGCAGTTTAAAAGGATACCCAACTCAGACACAGTATACTGACTCCGAGCTGACCAGTCCTTGTTTTGCCCCTTAATGCCAAGCGTCAAACAGGGTAACAACAAGTACCACCTTTTAATGTCTTTTGGTATGACGCGGCTGGGGATTGAACCCCAGACCTTCCGCTCTCTGGGCAGACGCTCTACCACTAAACCACAGAGGCGGTCTGTTCTGTTGTAACTAAGACATAGAACAATGGTGGGATCTCATGCGACATTGGACACAATAAGGGCAGGACATAAACAGATGCAAAGTCAAAGTGACCTGAAACAACATATTCTGCAAAATTATTTTAAAATATTTACAACATTCACTCCTTTGTTTAATAATACCCAATAGACTGGCTCCAAAGGAAGAAACATATATCAAATACCTCAATAAAAATACCCAGATGATAATGGTTGTATGTGGGCAAATACTCAATGGCTCAGAGTTTCTGGGTCATTGTCTGTCAGCAGGCAACTTCTGGGATTCACTGGACATCATGATCCTGAGGAGTATTAAGCTCACATGCTGCAATGGGGTGCTATTGATGTAAGGGAGATAACTCTCATTTCTGAAAGTGCTTATTCTATATTTACACATGAATCAGATTAATGTTATTGTCAGGTGTAAGTTTAGCATTGTTGAGTGTGGTTGCTATGTGGTGTTGTGATGAGAATGATATGTGTCAGTTGTATTTGAATATTTGCTTGAGTTTTCTGAAGTCTATCAGCCCACTCCTTCACTCACTCATGCTTTTGTCCTCAGTTGCTGACATCCCGGGACTCATCTCAGGCGCACATCTCAATAGAGGTCTCGGAATCTCATTTCTACGACACATCCAACGATGTACATGTCTTCTATACGTCCTTGACCTTTCTGTTGATGACCCCTGGACACAACTACATGACCTCCAATTTGAACTAGATCAGTACGAGGAAGGCCTCTCGCAGAGACCATGCGCCATTGTGGCCAACAAGATCGACCTTCCTCAAGCTGATGAGAACCTCCGAGCTCTCCGAGATCATGTGACACTGCCGGTATTCCCTGTGTCAGCTCGAGAGCGAGTTGGTATCCAACAATTACTGGTACATCTCCGGGAGCTTTATGATACGTATGCAGAGAGGAAAGGAACTGGGTGGTGAAGAATATTCCTGTCGCCTTATGTATTGATATAAAATCTAAATTCAATTTTATACAAGGATTCCATGAACAGTTTGTTATTTTTCCAATGTTTTTATTCATTTCAGAGTGAGTGAGTTGGGTAGCTTTTCACAGTATTACAGTTATATCGCTGCGTGTCAGCTTAATTTTTGAGGAAAGCCCGAAGTGATGCAGGTCTCAGACGTTTACCACCTTGGTGAAACCCACGAGCATGGATATGGTGCTGACAAAACCAGAAAAATAATTGGGTCCAAAGGGGATTCAAACCCATAATTATAGGTTTCTGGTGTGTCCAAGGGACGCAACTCTCCACAGCGAATCACGGGGCCTTTGACGACTGGGTTACCCGTGCACCCGATTCATGTCAGATGTTACAGTCCCATATGTTAGGCATACTCGTTATCACATACATTTAATGTTGGGGTGTAATTCATTGATTTCTTTGATGAAAGATTCTAACCTGGTGAGACCCAGTGTCCACATTAGGTATATATCATCAATAAATCACACGTACAGTTTTAGGTTATCGGTCGTTTTTTTTAGGAGTTTTTCTCCTTATTCTCTCATAAATATGTTACCGTTTGGTGCCGATAGCTGTACCTCCTATTTGTACATAGTGTTCATTATTAAAAAGGGGTGATGGGATAGCCTAGTGGTTAAAACGTTTGCTCGTCACGCTGAAGAAACGGGTTCACTTCCCCACATTGGTTCAATGTGTGAGGCCCATTTCTGGTGTCCCCACCGTGATATTGTAGGAATATTGCTAAAAGCGGCGTAAAACCATACTCACTCACTCACTCACTCATCAAAAACAAGTTTATTTTGTCCAGGACAAGTCGTAGTGTAGAAAGTAAACTTGTGGGACTTATAGACCAGTTTGGTTTGAATCGTGGAAAGCCTGGGCTACTGATCAAAGGCCTTCCCTGTTTGGTATGGTCGTGTAAAAGCATGATGTGGCTATTTGGCCGAAATTTTCTAAAATCTGGATAAAGTGAACTACAAAGAAACACCGGAAGCTCCATAGCTCTATCAGGCTGATTTGTACAATATGCCAAAAGGCATACAAACGTCAGATTTAAAAATCATCTGAAACGTCACGAGCATTCAAGCGTGGAAATACCAACTTCTACCACCGCCAGTTGCACATTTGACATGACTGAAGTCCTGTCCACTTCCAACACAAGGAGGGGCGGTCGGGTAGCCAAGTGGTTAAAGCGTTCGCTCGTCACGCCGAAGACGCGGGTTCGATTCGCGACATGGGTACAGTGTGAGAAGCCCATTTCTGGTGTCCCCCGCCTTGATATTGCTGGAATATTGCTAAAAGCGGCGTAAAACCATACTCACTCACTCACTCCAACACAAGGATGTGGCCCACAGAGGATGTGGCAGGGTCAAACTCATATCCCTAGCAGAGGATGCATATCTTACGCCATCTGTAAGCGGATCACCTGTGTCAAGCAGAGGTGTCAACTCATCACCTAAATCACCTCCCTCCACCCGCTCGCTTAGTACAACCCCCACCATTTGAAAGATGGGTGAACTATTTTGAGGACCCTAATGTAGACTTAGACACGGAACACTGGTCTGTTTACAGACAGGGGGCACGGGTGGCCCAGTCGTCTAAGGCGCCGCGATTCACTGTGCAGAGTTGCGTCCCTTGGGCACGCCAGAAACCTATGATTGTGGGTTCGAATCCCGGTTCGCCCCAATTATGTTTCAAGGATTTGTCAGCACCATACCCGTGCTCGAAGTGGTAAACGTCTGAGACCTGCATCACTTCGGGCTTTCCTCCCACATTAAGCTGATACGCCGTGATATAACTGGAATACTGTTAAAAGCAAGCGGCGTTAAACCCAACTCACTCACTCACTCACTCACTGTTTACAGACAACAAAATAGGGCATTTCAAAGCCATCCACTCCCAGGCACCAAAAAAGTCATCACGCGGTCCACAGGACACCCTTTGGGCTCATAAATAAATCATTTTGATCTCATCCCTGTGGTTTGTCTTTTTATCAGGTCCTCTGACCTAAGGTAGACTCCCCAATCCCAGCCGGAGAACACCCTGCTCCAGCAATATACACTTACGCTCACTAGTGCACCACAATGCACACGGCTGAAATGTAACACAATGTAAAAGACATAGATTTATTGAAGCATTCATAAAATCACGACACTACTGACACTGACATGAGGGGTAGAAAAAGTTGTTTAACAAACTCGCATGTAATTTTTGATGGTTTAATGCCTGTTGTTACAAGGGGGTCTGCGCAATAAGCATAACAGCTTAAGGATATCGCGGAACACAGGGATAGTCTCAAAACATGAATTCTCCCTGTGGTCTTAGTCTTTGTCTGTGACTGCGACCTCTTGTGTGTGATATGTCATGGGACTCGCGCCATTGCTGTGTCTGCGGCGGTGTCCTGGTTTTCAATTCAAAACAGACCATGAGGAGTGTTGTAGTTACATCAGATTTCAACAAATAGCATTTTGTATCGTTTGTTTGTTTTTTAACACATCACTCAGCACTATTCTAGATGTATGACACCAGTCTGTAAATAATTGAGTCAGAACCTGAAAATCCAATGATTGACATCACGAACATCGATATACACAATTGGAATACGAAGATTTGCATCAACCATGTCCGCGATCTTGGCCACCCGATCCTGTCCGTCGCCTTTCCACAAGCATGGGCCGAGCTGGCATGGGTACCTGTGGATATACAGGGTAGTATAGAGTGAGTTGGGTTTAACACTGCTTTTACCATTATTCCATTTATATCACAGTGTGTTAGGTTATTGTGTGAGGAAAGCCCGAAGTGATGCAGGTCTCCGACGTTTACCACTTGAAACACACTAAACCGGTCGTACCCTTTCACAACTCTTTTCCCTCATATTGGCTTGGTGACGTGGGATGACTTCGAACAGTGAGCGAGTGAGTGAGTGAGAGTATGGTTTTACGCCGCTTTTAGCAATATTCCAGCAACATCGGGGGACACCAGAAATGGGCTTCACACATTGTACCGACTTCGAACAGATCGCAAGTGAGGAGAATGTTGAATTTGATAAAATTTCAAGATACCTTAGACAACATTTCTAAACCAAACACATACGTGTATACCTATCTACATGAGTTTGATAAAACGCCGCCCAAACCAGTTATATCATGGCGTGCCAGCTGAAACCTGAATTGATGCAGGCCACAGACCTTTAGCACTACGGTGAAACCCACTAGCCAGCGCATACTGCTGACAAACCTCGAAACATAAGCAGAGCGAAGGGGAATTCGAACCCACGATCATAGGTTTCCGGCGTGCTCAAAGGATGACACTCTGCAAAGCGAATTGCGCCTTAATATAGAAGTAAGTAAGAACCGTTAGAAGGCATTAAACAGAAACTATAGGAAAGATCAGTGTTGCCTAAATTTATAATGTTAGGAAATGAACGTGTGATCCGTGGTCAGTGTGACAAACGTTTAAAATCGAAGTATCATTTGGATGCCACATTTGCACATATGAACGGGGGTCTTGAAATAATATAATCTTTAAATCACTATGAGTGAGTATGGTTTTACTCCGCTTTTAGCAATATTATAGCAACATCACATCACTGCAGGGGACACCGGGAATACGGCTTCTCGCATCGAACCGGATCTTCGGCGTGACGAGCGAACGCTTCAACCTCTAGGCTACCCCCCCCCCCCCCCCCCCCCCCCCCCACCGACATCTGTCTAAGGTCCAGGACAATTTGTTAAAAATGAAAGGATATATCATCTGAAGTTTACTGAGAAACAATATGCTGGTCTTCGTCATATTTGACATCAATGTGAAATTTGGGGACCGGATATTTAGGCATGAAGTAGGCATTCCAATTGCTGCCAATTATGCAATAATGCTCACATTGCCAATTCCCTTCCACTGATTTACCCACCTAAGCCAGAAATAAGGGACCAGTGAAACCCTTTCATATTTAGATCTAGAATCAGAGTTAACAAAAATATTCACAATGACGAAAGATGGATGACTTCAACTTTTCAATAGTCAATATTCGTTTTTTGTCGAGCAGTATTCCAGAAGCTCTAGTCAATGGTATCTACATTTCACAACTTTTGGGGTATTATCGAACATGCTCTTTCTACGAAGATTTCAAAGAATGGTCAACAGACTCTTGCTCAAAATTAAAACTGTTTGCTGGGAGTTTTATGGTAGACGTGCGGAGGACATTTTCAAAATTCACGCATCAGTGACAAAAATGATGTCTGATGCAATTCCCTCAGTAGACTTTACCATAAAAAGAAATTAACTACCATGTATTATTTCCTGGACCTCTTCAAAGATTCCGTCACAACTGTATGGATATAAAAATGTGAAAATGTTAAGAATCGCGAAGCCGATATAATTTATTAATTACTTCAGTTGGCTTCAAATCCGGTGTATTCCCCGTCCACCCCGTGAGACATATCCATAACAAGGATCCTTGTGTTGAATAACAGGACTGATTACGCCATGCATTTACTAATACTTCAGAAAAATATATATAATGTATTAAAGAACGACACACGTTCCTTTGGGCGTTCTCTCCCGATTTGATAAGAATGAGTAGAAACTTCATATTGATATTAATCAAACACTTGATCACACACAATGCAAAGTTAAAATGCATACCAAAGCACGGACAGTTTGCAGTGGGGCTCAATACTAATGGTCCGTTTTTCGCGATATTTTAAATATAGACCGTTTTTCCTAAATTCTCTCAAAATGCATTTCCTCGCACTATAAACACGATATCCTCAGAAACCGCTGAACCATTGAAGCTAAAACATGCTTGTTCCCGCAATGATCGCACCTGATTTGTTTGAATCCGATTTTTTCAATATGGCCGCCAGGTCAGAGACACTGAAAAAAGCTATTTGTGGCCATTACTCAGTCATTCGTGCTCCAAATGTACGTACATGCTCCAAATTATCTCAAAATGCATGTTTTGCTCTATACACATCTTCTCCTCTGAAATTATCAGACTGAGCGCCCTGA